GTGATTTCAAATATCAACATTGGCTACCAGAAATCGCTTACTCTGCCTTTAATAGGCTATTTATTTTAAAACTTTTTTTTACATTTTATTCTGGACTACAACATGCCCTAAATATTGTTTGAAAGTGTTTTGATTCTTTATTGTTCGGTCAAACTTTACATTAGGTCTTCATTAGTTAACATTAGTTAACAGACAGTAAACTGCCAATGAAAAAATCTTCTAAACATTCATTAATCTTGGGTAATTCCAATATTTAATAACACGTTGTTCAAATCAAAAGTTGCAACTGTGTTATTTAATGAGTTAACATGAAATAAGAGTTGTATTTTTTTTTAAACAAAGATTAATAACTTCTGTAGCAAATGTAGCTATTGCTCATTGTGAATGTTAATGCATTAACTAAGGTTAACTAATGAGATCTTATTGTAAATTGATACCTATTGGTCTTTATCATTCTTTTGCACTTTAATCTGTGTAAAATGTTTAACTATACATTTTTTGTGTATTGCTTTATTGTTTTTAAGTGTTCAGTTATTTTTTATATAAGAAAAAAGTTATTAAACCTGTTATACTGTATTATGACAACACTTTTTTTGCAACTAAATTTCAATATCTTGATAATACCGTACACTAGGGGTGTAACGATATGCTCAGGTCACGATACGGTACGTATCTCGATACTGGGTTTACGATACGATGCGGATCACAATATTTTGAACAAAATGTAAATAATGAACCTGAAATTCAAATAACAGATTTATTTCAAAAACATTAACAAATTTCAATAACTTTCTTTGTTGTACATACAAGATCACATTTCAAGGTTTAATAAAAACCTTCTGTATTCAAATTAACAACTGAATAGGTCTGTCTGTCACTGAAAAAAATTATGTTAAATTTAACATGAACTTAGAATTAAGAAGCCTAAGAAAGAACTTCTTAAAGCAGTAAAAAAAATAAAAATAAAAATAATTAAATGGTGTTCTGTTCAAGTAAGTTCAACATAAACACTAGGGTTTGTTTAGGTTACCTACAGGTTTTTTTTTGCAAAAATACCAGCATATCTACATTTTCAGGCAGAAGCTGGGATCTTTGAGTGTTCACAGTATCCCCTGCCGTAGAAAAAACACGTTCACTGGGAACAGAAGTTGCTGGAACTGTTAGGTAAGCCTTGGAAAGAGAGGAAAGAAGTGGGTACGTTTGAGCGTGTTCTTTCCACCATTTCAGTGGACAGCTAGTGAGGGGAATAGAAGTGTCCTTTTTGTACATGTCAATCTCTACTTCTATCCTACATTTGGACTGAGTGACTGTTGGTTTAGAAAAAGTTGCACCAAGGAGATCTTCCAGTGCTGTCTTTTTGCTAGGTGGTGGCTGTTCTTGCTGAGGGAGTCCTGCACTTTCCGTCTTTGACGACACGTAAAAAAAACAGCGCATACCGCATGAACGGTATAACGGAAAATTTTAGTGGTTTTGAAACCGTGACTTTTCCAAACCGCGGTATACCTTGAAACCGGTTATCGTCCCATGCCTAGTTGCAGCAAAACTGCGTTGCATAGATGTTTGGCCTTCTTTTACCCTTTTTGTCGCAGGAGTTTGCTGGAGTTTGTTGTTGTGATGCCATTTTAAATGGCGCATCATATTCGAAGTGTTTGACATTGTGTATGGCAGCCTTGTTTTACAGTGTTTACAAACAGTTTGTTTTGTCTGTAATTTTTTTACCGTCATCCTGTCGCGTGACTGGAAAACCAAAATGCTGCCAGACGTCGGACTTATAAGAAGACGGGGCATCTTCAATTTCAGTTTCAGCCAAACTCATGTTGCCTGACTAATGGTCAGTTTAAGCGATTTCTGCAACTGCGAGGAAAGCACACGCGACGCTGTTGCAGAGTAGGTCACGTCGGCAGCTCAACCAATAGGATTAGACTGCCGTCATATCGTAAAAGTATCGCCACCACTCTACGATACATATTGTAACATTTTTGCATCGCGAAATATTGTACTGTGATATATCGTTACACCTCATACCGTATACCGTGATAAAAGCATTAGCAATTAATCGCAACATGAAAATTTGATCCCGGCATATCCCTAACCAGTGCTAATGGCAAGCGTGTGCACCCACATCGCCTCAGCAGGGAATTACAGAGGAGGAGTGAGGTAAGATGGGGTGTGTATGTGCTCCGCTAACCGACAGGGACAGGTCACGTTGCCACAGGTGTGCATTATTTTTCAATAATTCAGTTGTCTGTCATCAATTATTCCCTACACATTCAATTGAGACTGCAAACTCACAACTCTACTGGTAAAATATAGATTATTTTGCCTTGCCACTGTAGCTTCCATAAATTGCTCAAAATTACTGAAATACTAAGATACTATCAAATCCCATCACTGCTTTATGTCTGTCCCAGGATTTAAAAGTGTTTTTGGAATTTTTGGATTTTGACTCATCAGTGACCCAACTGTCATGACCCAACTGACCAAAGCCTGTCATGGTGTTTTCTATGAACCTCTTCGTCCAAAAGGTGGCAGTATGAAGTACCTATTTGAATCAACAAAGTCGGATCATGCCCACCAATCCACCTTCAGAAGTTAAAGACCACTATATCTGAGCCAAATCTTGGTCTTCAATCATAATTAATTATATATTTTTTCCCTTTGAGCTAACTGCTTTCATTGTAGTAGCAAGTAAAAGAGTGACCAGTACATTATTCAAAATGGGCACTTTGTTTTTCACTGAGAAAATAAAATACAGATTTGAAGGAAAGGAAGAGAGACAGATATGTGTGAGCTGTGAGGAATCCTCTTCTTTTGCAGGTGACACGTTCTTTGATGCAACTCCTATGAATGCAAAATCAAATCCCATGAAACTAGGAAAGTAGGGCAAAAATATATGCAAATATGTCAGACATACAGCAACAATTTTCAACGCTGCCCTCGGGGGAAGTGTGGGGGAAGCACCAAAAATCACAAGAGACTCTGGAAAAAGACGAGTTCCCTGGAGTCAGAGGTTCAAAACAGAACCCAAGTGAGAAGATCAAATCCTATCCTACAGTCAGGAGGCTGATACAGTAATTAGCCAGGATTTCTAGGCCAACCTAACAGAGTCTTGGGGCTTGGGGATATTCTCAACATATTAGAAGCAAATGCTGTTATCCCATGGAATATGTTTAGGCTGTTATTTTCTCTTTTCAATTAAGATGATACTCAGTTTGTCACAACTCACAGAGAACAGCAAAATGTGAACATTCCTCTCTATATGATCCAGGTTTCCAATTCTGTTACTTCAACTATGTAAGTTTGGTAACATAATATTGTAATTTTTTTTACATATACCACTTATTCAAACAACTTTTCGTATCACTATGGCATATTATTTCAGCGAAGTAATGGCTATTTATAATCATGATCTTACTAGTTATAAAATGTTGTAGGTCTTTGGCTGTTTATAGGAAAAAATGCATACAAGTAAGTAGTTCTACACATGTGTTTTAAGGACAAAAATCTAGGAATGTCTCAAAATAAAACACCTAAATAATAACTGATGATGGACCACTGAATTATAATTTAAAAATAATGCACACCCGCCTCTTGTCGTGGCGACATTACCTCATTGGGTGTGCATTATTTTTCAATAATTCAATGACCTGTCATCAATTATTCCTTACACAGTTTGCAATTGAGACTGCAAACTCACAACTCTACTGGTAAAATACAGAGTCTTTTGCCTTGGCACTGTAGCTTCCATAAATTGCTCAGAAAAAAATAGCTGAAATCCTGAGATACTATCAAATCCCATCATTGCTTTTTGCCTGTCCCAGGATTTTAAATTTTCTTGTGCAATCATTGCCAAAGAGTGTGGAAGAAAAATACTAAGACCAACTCTCCTGAGCTTCTTCTTTCTGAATGGGGTGAAGTCAATGAAGAATAGGCAACAACCAGAGACAAAGGTCTGGCAACCCTCTCTTTACACTCCTGCAATTTTTAATGTGATAAATAGCAATTATGACATATGATAAGAAAAGTTGCTAGTGTTACTGCGATTAATCCCACTTACCATAGACATCAAATAAACAGACAATTTTTTGCCAAGAGACTTAGTTCTTTAGAGGCTCTAAACTTTATAATTATCTATATTATATATAACTATATATAATATCAAGAGAAAGCATTCTTATTCATATTAATGGAAGTTGTCAGTAGGGGCAAAACTCCCATCTTTGCTCACAGGTGCCATGTTGTTTCCAGCCAATCATCTGAACCTAAATGTCATGTGACAAATCACTCTGGAGCTGCACTAAAATAACATCAAGGGAAAAGCATAAGTCCATTCCATGTTTTATTTAGGGGGGGGGGAGAGTAGAGGTGGAAGAACTTC